TTTAGAAATGTTGGTGTAATCAGGATGGTGATTTTGTAAAGCGCTTTCCACAAAAGCGTTTTTTAGCATTTTTTCTGGTGTAATTCCAGCAATTGACCAATAATGAAAACAATGACCAATAATGTATCATGGCTTTAGGCCTATGATGGCAATAAATATAAAATATTCATAATAATTTTAAGCTGAATTGAAACATCCTACAAAGCAGGTGTCCATACCTCCTTCTTCCCCGATTTAACTGAATCACGTGATCTAATTAGGCGCAATGTCTTATTATTTATTTCTGTTGCAGTGTTGCGCAGGTCAATCAGATTGCGAGTTCTTAATCGGAACTTGTGTCCAGTGATTTTTACGCTTAATATTTTTATTGTTTGATTCTTTAAGTATTTCATTATGGAATTGAAACGTTCACAAAGCTTGTTTTCTATAAACTTATTAAGTAAACTTTGGAGTTCATATTAACATGTTGGCATGTAAATCATCCCTTTAGCTACTAAATATTTATTAACTTAAAGAATGCAATTGTAATTCTAAAACTTTTCAGTACCTCTATGATGTTACTTTGCATTTGCAACTTTATTAATTAGTACTAATTTGTATTCCCTAAAGTTCATAACTATTAATAAGTAATTCTATCGATGATAAACTTAATGATGCAATGGCTTTAGTTCTTCTCCTCATTGGCAGGTACGAGGTCAAATTTATTAATGAATGGTGCTAACTACTAGCTAACCTCTTGAATCCCAGGCTCTAAAATCAGTTGAAACCAGAGAATTTGTCATTTTTGCCACCTTTTAACACTTTACTTCATACTTAAACAACTTTAGATGCTCAACTTGGTAAAAGTAAAATTAGACAACAGAGATCATTTATATACATTTTAAAACAACTACATGTAATGTGTAAATTGGACGAGAATTGTTCAAATAAGAGCAATCCTACTCTGGGTTTCAAGGTCATTTCTGAGGTGATGAGAAATCTCTTCATACTTGCTTCTTTGGTAAAAGCAATCTTCCTAGTTGCAATATGAAAATCCCTGACTGAAATACTTAAAGAATCAAACAATAAAAATATTAAGCGTAAAAATCACTGGACACAAGTTTTGACAAGTAAAATTATTGATTTTTGAATTTCCTCAATTGATAAACTCACAGCCATAAAATACCCAAGAGAAAAAAAAGTATTATATCACTTACCTTTGATAACATTACAGGGAAACTGACAATACCTTATGAATATAATATTTATAAGGTAAAAATACTGCCTCTCCTAGTTCTTACACACAGTGCAATTTTTGGGGTTGATTTGTTCATAATAAAGCAAATACTGGATATTCATTAAGTGGGTATGGCTGAATATCAATCTAAGCAAAACACAAATTCTGGACAAAGCAGAACCATTATTATTTCACTGCTGTTTAACATTTTAGAGTGAGGCTCACTTAACACTATTTGTGAAATATGCATGAACAGAAAATCTTTCCTTGATATTATCATACAATTGTTACCTGTAACTGGGAAATCCAGGATCATACAATAACATGGATTGCACATGCTGTCATTTTAATGAAATTGTTATGGTCATTATAAAGTGCACTTTTGTATCTTATACTAATGCATGCACATTTTGTCTTTTACATTTTAAACAGACATACACAGGCAAATGATTTAACTATTTCAACACATTTATTATAATGAATTTCAAGATTTCATTACTTTCCAATAACTTAACTAGTTACAATGCCAAACTATACTTGCATTAGCTAGTTACAATGCAAAAGTGTACTTGCATTAACTAGTAACCATGGAAAACCGTACTTGGATGAACTAGTTACAAATACAGACTGTACTTGGATTGACTAGTTACAATGGAAAACTGAACTTGGATGAACTGGTTACAAATACAGATTGTACTTGGATTGACTAGTTACAATGGAAAACTGAACTTGGATGAACTAGTTACAAATACAGATTGTACTTGGATTAATGAGTTACAATGGAAAACTGTACTTGGATGAACTAGTTACAAATACAGACTGTACTTGGATTGACTAGTTACAATGGAAAACTGAACTTGGATGAACTGGTTACAAATACAGATTGTACTTGGATTGACTAGTTACAATGGAAAACTGAACTTGGATGAACTAGTTACAAATACAGATTGTACTTGGATTGACTAGTTACAATGGAAAACTGAACTTGGATGAACTGGTTACAAATACATATTGTACTTGGATTGACTAGTTACAATGGAAAACTGAACTTGGATGAACTAGTTACAAATACAGATTGTACTTGGATTAATGAGTTACAATGACAGGGTGTTCTTAGATTAAGTAGTGACAACTCTTATCTTAAATTTCTTATATACAAGCATCTTCATTGTGGCAAGCCTGATGTAGTAATGATGTGGTAAAATCTCAAATTTGACTATTATTGTTTTCATGTAGTGATGCAATATATCATGACTAGGAATAGTGGTTTATTATCACAAAATTGAGTTTTTTCTGAACCATGAATGTAACCATCATTTAATTCACAGCACAAAGTACACATGAAACTGATAATGAAGAGTGAGCCAAAAATGTATGTACTTTTTATTTTGCTATAACTTTTATAATACATGAATATTAATTATTATACTTTTTGCAGGGTATGTAGCAATCAAATGTACAATAATCCAAAATATATATAACAGTATTTAAACAAGGCATTAACATGCAAAATGTCACCACCTGCCATTTGTTACATATGCTGACCACCAAACACCAGCTGCCAAACACTATTCACAAAATGTTGGAGGCTTATAACAATATGTCACCACTAGCAGCCAATAGGGATGTTAATGCAATGCATGGAAGTGAACTTTTGTTTGGTTTCCGGGTAATATTTGACATAACAGTACCATTTAGACCCCTAGTGTCTGTTACTCTTTCTGTTAATCCTGCATCTCCATCGAAAATATTTCAAAAAACAGTGTACATTCAAATGCATTTTCAAAAGAGTTAAATTATGTACATTTTTGGCCCACCTTGTAGAATAACCAACAGAAAATTTAATAATCTTAATACATGATTTATTCTAAATATAAGAAATAAACTTATAATTAAAAGTCTTATACTAAATCGAAGGATCTTACATAAAATGCATGCAAGTTAGTACAATTTCAATTGTCAATCTTAATATTCATTGTAGACAAACAATTTAGGACTATTTAAAAAACATTGAAACCTGTAAAGTGGAACACATGTAGAAATGGAACACTTCTCAGAGTCCCAAGATCAACTGACTTAATGTTAAACCTACACATCTCTTTAAAACGCAATCTTGGATTGTTCCAGGGTCAATCGTAAAATTTTGAACTATAGTATAGCACCCTATGCAGACAGAGCCTGTGGGAAATATTGGGTGCGGCGCAAATGAGCGGAGGGTGCGGAGCTAACGGTCATTTTTGAATTTAAAATTGGGATATTTCTGAAACTAAGCCGTTTTGGGACTTCAAATATACCAAGATATGTGTATTTGACACCAAATATCAATAAAATTGTGAAAATAGTAGTGCAATTCATTTTATAGTGACGCAGTATGCCTTAAACATTTCCCAGACCTATATATTTTGAGACTATCCTTTTAATACTGCGTCCCCAGCATTCATAAAAAATGGTGTTCAAGATACACTACCCATGCAAATTATTTTTGCATCTTGGAAGCCAGGCAGTATCTGTGTGATTTTATAAAAATTCGGAAATGTTCTTCAGATATGAGCCCCCTCTAAATATTGGGTGCGGAGGTACGTTTATGGAGCTACTCCGCACCCAATATTTAGAGGGGGCTCTTATCTGAAAAACATTTCCGAATTTTTATAAAATCACACAGATACTGCCTGGCTTCCAAGATGCAAAAATAATTTGTATAGATAGTGTACCTTGAACACGATTTTTTATGAATGCTGGGGACTCAGTATTAAAAGGATAATTTCAAAATATATAGGTCTGGGAAAGGTTTAAGGCACACTGCGTCGCTATAGAATGAATTGCGCTACTATTTTCACAATTGTATTGATATTTGGTGTCAAATAACATATCTTGGTATATTTGAAGTCCCAAAACGGCTTAGTTTCAGAAATATCCCAAATTTAAATTCAAAAATGACCCTTAGCTCCGCACCCTCCGCTCATTTGCTCCCCACCCAATATTTCCCACAGGCTCTGTCTGCATAGGGTGGTATAGAGAATGAATACTATACAATGGTGAACAAATGGGGTAAATGTTATGTTATGTTATATTTATTTTCATATTATAATTATTACAATTTGAATAACAAGGTATGCACAAGACGCTGGGTGTATTCAAGTTTTGTCCCATCTGTAAAAATGTCATTATGAGGATTGTTCCTTCGATGGCTCGGATTGTCGTGGACAATTTGATTTTTTGAAGGTTTCAAAATATTACTCCACTACATAATTAAAATTTTTCAAATGTTACATGTTTAACTACTCTTGAGATTATTAAATAAATTCTTGTGTGAATCTTTTATTTTTTTACTAAATAATTTTGTTGGTTGTATGAAGAAAATGTAAAAATAATATATGACCACATATTGCATTTAAAGCGATGTGCAGGTTTAAATGAGCCTCTACAGGTGGATCACTTTTTAGAGGTACAAAAGGCATTCCACTTAGACAGGTTTAGCTGTACTCTCTCATTCCTTTACATGTACCTATCTCCATGTATTGAATAACAAAGCATGGAAGTCAGTTTTTGATCAATATTAAGTGCAGACATAATGTAAGTAATGATATAGTTCTTACTATAAAAGCATGCATGTTAGTAAGATTTCCAGTATCATCCTTATTCATACATTATTATTACATTGTTTTTTTATTAATTAAGTGTACACTTAAAACTTCCATGCATTCTTTAACTTAATTTCACTCATCACTTTTCAACTCTGTTGTTTCAGAATCAACAATATAACTTGATTAAATAACCAAGTTACCTGAGATAGATGGCACCATGATACAAAAGGTTCAGATTTCACACAGTGTAATTCTCCAAAAATAAGGCCCTATGATTGATTTCCGTCTTTCCATATTTGGCACGTAAGTGGTCAATGTCTTTACTGTTACCTCTCTGGACCTTGGCATCATCATCTGATATCCAACCTATAATATCAACAAATCAGATATCAGCATTTTCTCAACAAACGTTCAATTATCAACATACCTCATAAAAATTATTTAAGTCTAATTACAAAATTAAACATTTTGTAAGATCTCTTGCATTTTAAGTTTACTATGAGCTTCCAATGTAGCCCTTTATATTAACATGATTGCCCAGGAGGTCCATATACCTGAGAAGTCCTCCTCTCCCTGTAAGTAGTCTATGAGTAAAGACACCCTTCCACTGAAGTTGTACAGTAATCTTCCAACAGTCTCTTTTGTCAGCTTAAACTTCTTTGATAATTTCTGAAATAAGTAAATTTCTTGTATATGCAGTTAATACATTGCATGATTTTCTCAATTCTCAAATGCATATACAGTAAAACATGTGTAAGTGGAATGCACTTGTAATACATCAAAATGGTAACTTTGGTGGTGTACTGTAGCACTTTGTAGCAATAGATAGGGATTTAAATATCAACCATATGGCAGAGAAACCTGGCCTTTAACATTAAAAAAACTGGTAACTGGACTAAGTAACTGGTAAGTGTTCAATTCACAGAGGTGTTCCACATTACAGGTTTTACTGTATAAGGTGCAAATGGTTTTACAACAGGGTGCAAATGATTTTTTAACAGAGTGCAAGGTCACATACAAATTTCAACTGTAGTCTATGGGTGTGGAGCCAGTTTGTTTACAACTGAGTAATGATATACAATGTACATTACATTGTTCTTATGCACCATTCAAAAGTTTGAGTGGGAACCACCCCCCAAGCAGGCATGGATGGGGAATTTGACCAAAGAAATTTGGCCTGTCTTATTCCTTACGCCGGGGACAATTTCCCAACCCTGGGGGCACTAAATCTGGTCAAATATTCATTTTTAAATGGCACAATTACCTGCGTAATTAAAAGGAGAATACAGCTCATTCTAATGAAGTTTTCCAGTAGAATATTATAGTTTTGACAAATATGAGCAGGGAAGGGGCATGGTTTTCCTATTTAATTGGTTTGTTTCTGTTCAACAGAAGAGGAGAATATAGCTGTATGTACAATCATTTTTTATGGAATGGGTTTATTGCTGAGTTTAACAGGTACAATTCCACATCAACAAGTTTTTCGAAATTGTACTACATTGTAATTTATGCAATGACGTATTTGGCTGTTTACTTTATTGGGTTACTTCCCTCCATTTTATTAAACTATATTATGCTATGAATACAAGTAGAACGCGGAAGTGCAACTTTTTTCCAGAGGGAGGGTGAGAACAAGCTCGACATGCCAATACTTGCGCAATCTTTTGAATGGTGCATAACAACTACACAAATTCAGACTTACTGAAATAAGCCGTAAAGATTTTTGCATTTCTTTTTCACTGACATCATCAGCATCACTTAGTTCATCATCTAGTTGTGAATCAGGCATCTGGGAGTCTGGAACTTGTGATTGCAACTCATCAGTTCGATTGATAAACTCCTGAAGCCCACCCTTTGCATCTACAACATTATGAGAGGTAATATAGCTAAGTGTAAGTATTTGAGAATATATTAAAAGTGCACTCAATGTGTATATTCAGTAAAATGTAATTATTGGTGTATATTTCGATCCTTCATTTTTAACCTTTAACAAGGCATTAAAATGCAAAATGTCACCATCTACCATTTGCTACAGACACCTAACACCAACTGCTGCTACATAAAAAATTGGCGACTATAACAATATGTCTCCAATTGTGGTGGTGACATAATAAATCAGGAATATGTATTTGATCAGCTACTCCAATAGACAACATGCGAGTAGAATGAATCTTGATCTACTTCACTAAACATTCAAAATTCAATCAAATTGATGTCACATTTGAAATCTACACGTAAAAGTAAATCTAGAAATATGGTTTAGAAAATTGTTCATCAACTTTGAAAATTTAATCTCGTTTGAAAATGTGACTTCCAAGTTCGGGGAGATTCCCCATAGACCCTATGTATTTTAAAATCACAAAAATGAAATCAAAATAACAAAAAAAGATGCCCTAAAAAGAATCAAATCATACTTTTCCTTCTTTCTCTTCCTTTGGGAGTGTCTAAAAGTGATTGACTGTTGTCTCTATTGTTATCATCCTGACTTGTACTCTCATCAGGATCAGTAACTTTTTCATCATCTATAACTCTCCTTCTCTGAAAGTCACATTATAAATAACTAAATAAATCAGATGAAAGCAGATTTTAACCAGTGAACTTCGAGAACAAGATTACATGTATAATATTCATAGTCAGAGCACATGGTACAAATAATTTTTATTTAGAAGACTCCACAGAGTAGCAAATCCCACCGAACCGTGTAAAATAACTCACCCCTACCTTTGCTCTCCCACGCTCTTGTTTGCTTTTCTCTGGCGATGACTGATGTGGTTCTACTAAAGAAACATCCCTACTTCTGTTTCTCTTATTTGAAGAGCCATCACCACTACTGCTTCTTTTAAAAGAAGCATCCTTACTATTGCTTCTCTTATCCTTACTATTGCTTCTCGTACTTGAAGAAACATCTCCACTTCTGGTTCTTTTACTTGACCGAGACTTCGTTTTTTTAGGTGACTTTTCAGGAGAAGTCTGAGATTCTTTTTCAATGGATTTATTCCCACTTTTATCTTTATCATTTTTTGACCTTGTCCTCATGGGGGAAATATCATCATTTGTTGAAAACTCAATTAAGTCAATTTGATTTTCTTCTACTTTTGATTGAGCCCTTGTTCTTTTTGAAGGGGAATCTATGCTGTCAGGTACAGATGTAGGTTGCTTTGAATGACCCCTTTTTCTTTTGGTAGGCGAGTCTATTGCTTCATTTGTCTTTTTCGGGGATTGTTTTGTATTTGTATGAAATTCTTTACCATTTGCTGCATTTGATGCTTGTTTAATAAGTATCTGATCAAATTCATCCTCATCACTAATGGCACTTTCCTCGTTATCACATGTCCTTTTCTTGGGTGATGTTCTATCATTTTTTGATTTGGAACTAACAATTGAACATGCATTTCCTGTTGATGTAGAAGTTCCATTAATATGATCAATATCTGGACTATTTTCCTGAGGATCTTGGTCCTCATCAGGTATAGCAACTTTCAAATGTTGTCTATCGAACTCATTGTCATCATTTATACTGTCAGTTTCATCACCAGATGTTCCAAATTCGCTAATCTCTACCTCACCATCATCTGTATCATTATCAGAGGTTCTCTTGCTGCCAGATTTTCTAGATGAAGTTCCATCTTCTGGAAAAGAAATATTCATTTAGATTATATGTTATTTGTAGACTGGATATTAGATTAAGCATGAGTATTTGAATGAAGATTGGGTGAACAATGACTATCTAAATGAGATTGAAAAAACAATGAATATTTAAAAATGAATTGGATGAGTATTGAGTCTTACAATAATTACAAGACAAGCGATGAATATCTAAATGAAGGGTTAAAAAACAATAAGAGGACAAACAAAGTCTTTTTGATTAATTGCTTGAGAACCAATGAATATCAAAACGAGACATGGTGATTCATTGCATATTGCATCCTTGAATATACAGACAGTTTTTGAGAGGGAAGGTCCAAAATAGCCACCTGAACATTTACATTTATCCAGAATGCCCAAAAAAGCTGATCAGTTCTAGACTTTAACACCAAGAAACATCCCTTAAATTTCAGGATGGAAAATCTAAAATGGCGGCTCAAAACTTTCATACAAAAAATAAATATCCCCAAAGATTTCAGATTAATACATTACACAGTTTGAGACATGTTGACAAGACTTTACAGACAAAGACCCAGAATGCTAAAAATACTCTAAATTTTCATACCAAGAAAAGTCTCTAAAATTTTTGAGATCAATCCCTCAAACTATCTGGCTTGAAAGGCATAGACAAGACTGTGCAGACAAGATTTTTAAGATGGAAAATCCAAAATGGCTGACTTAACATTTTTGCAGAATGCATACAAAGAAACATCCTCAATTTTTTTCACCAATCCATCAAAAGGGTAGACAAAAGTTAACAGACAATATTTAAGGAAGGAAAATCCCACTTGCCACTTAGCTGATCACAAGGGTGCAATAGAAAAAGAGTGCAATAATGAAGACTGGAAAAAGAACTGCGCACAAATGGTAGTGACATTTATGTTTGAACTGGGTGCCAGAATTTTTTTTTATAAACAAGAAACCTATTGTTTGTTTGTTTGTATCCTTTATTACCACAAGTGTATATTGTGAGTACATTTACAATTTTTGTTTTGCATTAACATATTTACATTACATTACATTTGCATAAGCATACTACGCTTTGCATACATTTGCATACAGCCTTGGCTTTTAAAAGCATGGCTTCATCACTGTCTGATTTGAAAGTTTGAAATATAATGTCATCATTACCAATTCTAAATAAATTGAGAAGTGCAACTCTTTCCACATCTATGGAATTGCAGAAACGTAAAAAGTGATCCAATGTTTCTATTTCGCCAGTATCACATATATTACATTTTCTGTCACCTCATTTTTTATTTCCATTAAGTGTTTGATTCATTAGCAGTAAAATTCTCGAAGGAGTCTCCACAATTTACCATTTATGCCAATGTTAAATAACTTAAAAAGAAGCCCGTTAAGCCACACAGTATCGAAAGCCTTACGGATATCAATTGTAGACAAGTATGCATTATTTCCTTTGTCAAGATTATGAGCTATTGTCTCTTGTACAATCAGGGATGTATGGATTGATAAGCAATTAGATTGAGATGCCCCTTGTAACTGGGGGATATTTCTCAAGATAACTGGCTTGCTTCTGATCAGAAGGATATTATCAAAAACCTTCCTAAGAACAGACATGAGGGTAATCCCCCTAAAATTGTCTTTTTCTAATGGATCGCGGATACCTGATTTGAGAAGAGGCAATAGTATACCAATTTGAAAGTTGTTAGGAATAAATTCATTATCAATAATGCTTTGAAGCAGGATCTTATCTACATGTTGAACCTGAGGACCACCATACCTTAAGTGCTCAGCAGAAACGTTGTCAAACCCAGTAGCACGTTTAAGGTTAAGTGATTCTATTGCATGAGATACCTCTTTTAAAGTCAGAGGGTTGGATAAAATTGTGTTACCATTCAAATATGACTCTGCTAGCATGCGGTCTATAGCATTGTTAACCATTATCTCATGCTGGTGATCAAAATCATTACTCTGGGAGGGGGTGGAAAGCTTTTCTAAATAAGATTGGCACTCATCACATATATCTTTTGGATTAGTCAAAATCTCATTAGTTTCAGAGGATCTGATTAATTTCGAGTTAACTTTACAACCACCTCTACTTTTTTGAACTAAATGCCAATACATTCTTGGATTCAATCCTACTGATTCATTTTGCTCATATTGATATTGTTCAGATTTATATTGTTTCCTGAATAGCTTTTTGGCATTTTTATATCTAATTCGATACTCATTATTGGCGTCTCTCGGATGACCCATATTGCACATTTCATTCCATTTTTTATTACGGTCTTTTACCAACTCTGATATTTACTTATTAGTTTATGCCATGCAAGACGCGGTGCGTTCTCATTATAAACAAAGCATATTTGACAAATAATACAGTTTGAAATTACATTTTAACATGGAAAAAGCAACTTGGTAAAAACAGGGGGAAACTGCCTATTGCAAGCTTCCCCTGGTGTGCATGTTCAGTATACAACTGCTATCTCAATTATTCACACATTAAGCATTACCATCATTTATTTTAGTTCCCTCACGCATGTTGGTAAGTAAAGACATCCATTGTGACTTAATCCTGTATGAACTGATGTTTGGCAATATTTTCTTCATGTACCTATCTCTCATTGATTGCCATGGATGCTTGGTGATCTGTAAAATGAAATGATAACAACATAGTTGGTAAAAATTGAACATGTGAAGACCGTGATCAAATGATATCCCGCCATTATATGTTTTTCCATTACTATAATTTACCCTTGGTCCTTTGGTCCTTGTACATATACAACATGTACATATTGTTTGAACATATATTTTCTCAATTGTCATTTGTTTTAGCAAAGTTCTAGGGACGTTTTACTGAGTGTGTTATCCAATTGGGTCTCTCCCAAGAAGGGGAATACCCCAGGGTTCAGAGGAGACCTATCTTCAATGGAAAGTTAATATAATTATATACCTCAAGTTTCTGCATTTTCTTCCAGATGGCATTACCGCGCACTTCATTGTGACTATGCTCCTCACAAATGAACTTTATAATGTTGATGTCTTCTGATAACAGGTAAGCTCTCCGGCTGAAAGAATGGAAATATGTTTCTTTTGCCAATTAGTGAATTGAACTCTTGAGTCTCAAGTGAAAGCACAAAGAATAGAGAGTGTAACATAGCAGAAGAAAAGATTGATGTGAGATAAATTCGGAACGTTTGGATTTTTAAGAAAGTTATTCGCATCTCATCTTGTCAGTTTTTGTAGCTGCTTTAAGTGACTAAATGGTTTACTGTGTAGACTGTTTAGAATGACATATTAAAATTCATTTGCATTTGTGCTTTCTTTCTTTATAAGGCTGAATTAATACTAACCCAGTTTTACTCTTGCTCGAAGGAGCCTGCACTATGTAATTTGCTGGTTCTAAGTCATCATCATTATCACGTGCCACTTCATTCTTATCCACACTGAAATTAGAGTATCTACTGTCAACACAAAGAGGAGCATACAACTACTGTACACTTGAAAAAACTTTCAGGATGTATGCTTTCAAACTTTTTCGTCCACTCTTAGAAATGTTCTGTGCTCACATAATTATTGAACAATAATAAAAAGTCATAGCTGAATCCATAAAGCAAGCTTTTCATGAACTTTTATTTTTCTTACTTAATTGCTTAAGGATGCAGTACCGGGTCGGTTTTCACGTCTGTTTGCGCAGGTTTGACTTCCGGTTTGAGAAAGCTAGCTCCCAAGAACGCCATTTTCACATTTAGTCTTATTCAAAAATTATAGTTTATTTCGATAATGGTGTTTCCAGAAAATAATTAAAATGCAAACATTTTATCCAGCATATTTTATCCCTTTCACTTTTATGGGAAAACTTGTTCTTGAGTCGCAATTAGTGGATGCGAAAACCAGGGTCGAAAGGTGCCAACTCTATTGAAAACTCAAAAAAGTAAAAAGATTCATTTTGGGTTGGTAAAATAATTCTTTTATTTTGTAATTACCAGACGGTCAATCCTCTTCATATTGCACTTGGATGATGATAACATCATAGTGATACATTGTAAAAAATATGAGCAAAATTTAATGTCTGGAACTTTTTTTACGCTGACCTGGTACTGCATCCTTAATTACTTAATTACTTAATGTTTGATATAATGTACAGTATACCTGTATTTCTCCATAGGTAGTAGGTGATTCTTCTCCACACAGTCATCTATATAAGTAGAGAGTACAAAGCCATCATCACTTGCTGTAGAACCAGGTAGAATCAACCTACAGTAACATGCATTTTGTAAAGGTTTTGTTCAATTCAGATTTCACTGTACAAACATTGATTCATAATATTTGTAAACTAATTTGTTCATTAAGTTAACTTTAATAAATTTAGTACATGTAATCTTTACTGCCATTTATTACTAATACAAGTTAGTATCAGCATAATCAAAATGCATTAGAAAATTGTTGTTTCATATTACATATCAATGTTGTAACATTTATAGGATATCCTATGATTTTGAGGAATATCATTTTTATCTACGAGGTGATATTGATATCTGCACGAGAGAGCGAAGCGAACGAGTGCATATTATATCAATATCACCGAGTAGATTAAAATGATATTCTGAAAAAAATCATAGGATGTTCTTATTATCCTACACTTACAAGGAGTGTACTAAATGTATACTATCATTGCAAAATGAATTCCATGCCAAATAGAGTCAATTTGGTGGGAAATCAACAAGCGGAGTATATCGTCACAATATTCTCCGCATATTGGGTTTTCCGGAGTATATCGTCACGATATCCTCCGCCCGGAGTATATCGTTACGATATCCTCCGGATATTCATTTTGCCAATAAATATCAAATTTATTTTTTAATGTTATTATACATTTAGTAGACTAAGTGTAGGATAAATATGTCACTGCCCCCAGGATTCCGTGTTTGCAGAGCGCGGACGGAATTTGCCTCTGCCCGCGGAATTGCAGAATCAACTATTTTGGTCAATTTCCGTGGAATTTTCCGCAGAATCCATATATTTTCCAAAAGTTTAAAAAGTCAGTCTTACCTGTAACAATTTGACACGTTTTCAGTCAAATCCCTTGCAGAAATAACCCAAATTATGCGAAGTGAAAATTCTAAACGCCATCGTTTGATTTCTGCCGTTAGATGGCAGCATGTATGTAGTGACTGACTACCTGATTATCACGATATTTTCCCGTTTACTGGTTCGAAAACCATTAGTTTTTCTTTCGGTTCTCGTCAGAAAGTTAAACAAAGACATAAATTAATAACAGTTATTTATATTATATAAAAAAATGCCGCGAATATCCGCGGAATTTCTGCAGAATTAGCCCTTTCTTCTTGCAGAATTCACTAATTTCACTTGCAGAATTGAGCATTTTAACTTGCAGAAAACTGGGGGGAGTGATATGTATATCTATGTCTGAATGACCATTATAACAGATTTAAATAATACAGATACTATAATCGCTCTCATCCCTTGATAATATATTTGTCAAAATGATTAGAGATTTGACCTCCCATAAAATATAGAAGTTTCATGGATATGAAATGTAGAAGTTTCATGGATATAAAATGTAGAAGTTTCATGGATATAAAATGTAGAAGTTTGATGGATATAAAATGTAGAAGTTTGATGGTTATAAAATGTAGAAGTTTGATGGATATTAAGATTTGACATACATCAGATAATTTAATGCACATGTACATTTTGAACATACATTGCCATGTACTTGTTTTGTAACTCAAGACAGATTTGTATTTTCTTCATAGTATATCTCAGGGGCATGGGTAGCCAGAATTTTGAAAGTATTTCCATGCTACCCATGCCCCTGATATATACAGGGTGTCCCGAAAGTATGGGGCCCCCCCTAGGCAGACATATTCCAGTGTCCTCATAGTATGTGTCATATATCATTTTAAAGCTTATCCAAAGTTACATTGATTCGCCAAGTATCATGGTTTAACTCCCAAATGGGAAAAAGTTAAAGTCATTTCAAAAGTTAGTGTTTTATCAAAATAAAGTTCAATTTTACACCACATTACGAGTCAATGATTCCCCCCTTGGACATGTTAACAGCCACAATTATTTTCAAATATGACCTTAAAAGCCCTTCAAATAGGGGTGTGGAATTTTATAACCCTCTTAAAACCTGCTAAGGCACTTTAGAAGAGTTTCCTTTGAGTTTCTACCCTCACTGTTCTCTTTTTCCAACTCATTATCCACCTGACCCAAAAAGAATTGCTGCTGTTAAGATGGCCCAGGAGGACACATTGACTAGTGATTTGGTGTAAAATTGAACTTAATTTTGACCAAACACTAAATATTGAAATGCCTGTAATTTTTTCACATTTGAGAGTTGAACCATGATACTTGGTGAATTAATGTAACTTTGGATAAGCTTTAAAATGATATATGACACATACTATGACGACACTGGTATATGTCTGCCTAGGGGGGGCCCCATACTTTCAGGACACCCTGTACTGTGAAGAAAATACAAAACTGTCTCGAGTTACAATTAAGCCAAGACAAAGCTTAAATCAAAGAATATATTTCACTTTTGTTAGACATTCTTTTCACAGTTCAAGTTCAAAGAAATGTCTGAAAATATGTCTATGAAACACTGGTGATGCAGTACCTGACCCCCTCCCCCTCCTCATAGCTAGTTAATTAATGTTGATGGTTTTTTACATTGCTATTTGTGAATATGCAGAACTTACTTTATAGAATCTGCCCTAAGCTTTCCAGATATCTCACCTCCACCATGCTGGAAATAAAACAAATCTATCAATTAAGATTTCCCGATATATGCCGAATTTTTATTATTCTATCTTCAAAATTGACGCTGGATACATAAACCATTAAGATTTCTCTCTCCAGAGTCCAGAATACTGAGGACGGTTGAGCAATCCTTCATAATCAACCTAGATCATTTATTTAGCACAATTCTAACTGTCTGAAGGTTAGGGTTGCCAAATAAATAATATGTGCCACAAAAATGGCAAATTAAATTGACAAAAAAATAATGAAGAAATAATCAGCCTCCAGGGTGGATTGAACTCACAACACCTCACAAGACCAGTGTTCTGGGCTATAAAGGCATTAGGACCAAAATGGAAAATTTATACATTCATTTTCAATGTTGGCAGTTAAAACTTACCCTTGAAGTGCTTGAAGTGTTGATCTTATTATAATGATTCTAATAGTCTTTCAAGTTAAGTTTTCTTCAAATCAATCTTTATACCAGCATATGTATTTGCCAACATCATTTACAACAATCTGATCAGTGAGTGATTCATCCTGAGTGATGATTTTAGTACAGAAGATAGAGCCAGTAAAGGCAAAGTGAATTCAATGATCACTGCAGTATGATGGAATTCTGAGCACGACTAGTGTCATACAACATGGATACTGTGTGGAATGATATATTTCTATTGACCCCTCTATTCATTATGTAGTCTTTGTCTACTTCACTTGACAGTAAAATTGTAAATGTTTGGAACTACTTTGAATCTAAAAATAAGCAATTAAAGGACCATATTGAAACAGAATATGTAAAAATAGAAACATTTATAAATGTCCTAACTTTTGTACATTCTCGTTTGTTTTGTAGTTTAGCTATCATATCTGTGGCCTTTTATATTTTGATGGTTCTCTGCCATGTTTATTTTATACAGATATGATAGCTAAACTACGAAACAAACTAAAATAAACAAAAGTTAGGATAAATATAAATGTTTCTATTTTTACATAAACTGTTTCAATATGGTCATTTGATTGCTTATTTTTTAAATTCAAAGTAGTCACAAACATTTCTGTTTTGACTGTATAAATTCACAATCACCCAATCAAATTGAACTAATACTTCAGTCACTTCTTGTGTGTTTGGAAATGACCAAAACTTGGGATTGATATGTTGGAATGAATATGGCAAAATATTGAGAATGAACTCTGTGAGTCAATCCTCCTTGGGGCCGACGAGAAAACTCAAAACACCTCCTTACCTTGCAAAGCAAAATTTGTTTGGGCGATAATATGTTACAATTCAATATTTCAAACTTAGATGCCAAATTTCTCATAATAATGCAGTGTTTCATGCAAATTAAGTTCTTATACAAATAGAACATACCCTTATCAGAGGGGCTAATCTCTTCCTTTCTTCACTTGGGCCTAAATGGAAGCATAAAGAGCCCCCATCTTCACGAGTAAATAAGTAATCGCTGTGTGACATTTCCGCCATGTTTTTGAAATGAACTTTCCCGCCATATTCATAAACTGCAATTAAGCCTGATTATTGGTTGATAAAGTTAATCTATCCGAGAATATACATGATAAACATTAATTCTTGAATTGTTGAAAAGTTTGAAGTGATTGATATATTTTTATTATCACTACATTGATTACATTTTTATTCTCCGAGGCTATATTTCAAAGCAAGCTTCAAGGTCAAGGTCAACTTAAAATTTTGTGCAAAGTTCCAATTTTACATCAAATCTCCATTTATTCGGTTCTTTCGAGTGTCACTTCTTTCTGAAGGTGACATAAGGATAACGTGACAATGGCAGGCCAAATGGATCCACAAATGGCGCAGTTTATTCAAGCGGAAACGCAAAAACAACAAGCTGCTGAATTAGTCTCTGCGATGACTGACCAGTGTTGGGAAACGTGCATGGGATATCCTGGTCAAAAGTTAGACAGAAAAACTGAAACTTGTTTTGTGAACTGTGTAGAAAGACTCATGGATACAAGTAAATTTATTATGGGTCGCATCGGTCAAACAGTTAATAGTTCAATGAAATCTTCAAACACAAGCGAGATTAGCACAAATGCGCCAATAGGACAATCGTCAGGATCAAGAAGTTTCGGAAGTTTTTTTGACAAACAATGAATTACAATATTTCAATCATAGGATGGCCATATTTTATGATCGCATGATAAGGAAAATTGGACACTGCAACTGGCACTCAGATTCAGCATGAAGTTATAACCTACATTATCGATTCACAGCAATGACTGCAGTTGAAGAAGAAGCATGATAATATTACATGTGCAACCTTTTCATCTCAAGTACATGTACTTTTTAACATTTGACAAAAATATGATGCAATTCAACACTTGTTTTATATGGATTATATTACAGTGGGCTATAGGAATAGGATTAACGTCAAATTATTTGATTATGCTGATGTCCCAAAGGCTACAAAGGATTACATTTACTCCTAACTACTACAAGTAACAACGAATTGATAAATGGATTAATTAAAGAATTTAAGCCCAAGACTCAATGCATTGTTTGCTGAATCATACCATGAAGGTGTTGTTTCCAAACCTTTGCATGGCCGCGCAGCGGGAATGAAAAGTTTATGAAACAACGCCTGAGTGGAATGAAGCAGCTATCTTGCCTAGCTATGTGTGAATGATATATCACCTCTCTTGGATCACTCTATAATAAGCCTATCAATCATGTATTTTGTCGAGCGACATATGACATCATAATGTTATGCAATTATACATCAATGGATATGAAAAAAATTTAAGTCCTCGATACTTCGTCATCTTAGTGTTGTATCATATGGATAAGAAACTGTTCTTCAATCTACACCAATGTGTATACCAATTGATTTTAGGTTTAATAAAAAATAACAATGATGGTAATTCACATTATTAATACTATGTTGTTTATTATTTTCACAATTTCCCCAAAATAAACAGAGTAGTTTCAAGTGGGATAGGTGGAAAACATTTATATACAAAGTAAAACCTTTGTACAGTGAACACCTCTGGAGCCACTAAAATGTGTTCATTGTAAGTACCGGATTTTCTCGCATATACGCCCCCCTAAATTTAGGCCCATGGGCCAAAAATCGAATGTAGTACGCTTATACGCCCATGGGCCTATAAAAAATGACTATTTATTGATTTTTTTCAATAAATTCGAGAGTATTTTGTCACTGGCAGATCGTTCTGTCGTTACTTTGTTTCAACATCAAGTTCAACGCTGTGCCGTAAGTGGCAGTGGTGGATCGTTCTGTGGTTACTTTGTTTCAACATTAAGTCCAAGGTTGTAGGTGACATTTCCTTTATAATTCTTACAAAACATGCGGTAGGACTACAACAGTAGGTACGATAGTCTTTGAGGAAGATGGGTGATTCTCACCTTTACGCCCACTGGGCCAAAAATCGAAAGTAGTACACTTATACGCCCATGGGCGAAAAATAAGAGGTAAAATAACAGACGAAATTATCCCTTCTTTCAGTTATACGCCCAGGGCTTATATGCGAGAAAATCCGGTAGATCTTCTAAAATCTAATTCAAAACAAGACTTCAATGACATCTCAAAGCTACTGAGCAAACCCTCCATTTCAGCATTTGGCGGCTGTTTAATATGGAGAATTTGGGAATAGAGGAGTTTCCTCAAGCTTTGAAATCTCTCGAATTCTCGTTTTTTTCGTGAGTTTATAAGAGATTTGCACATTAAAGCTCTCATGACTTACATTTCCTTCTTTTTTAATAGCATACTGTAAAACGGGTAATTTTGACACCGGGGAATTTTAGCGATTTTTCAATTTTAGGGGGTTTTAGCGCGGGAAATTTTAGCGAAATGAAGATTAATCTTTAAAAAATCAAATTATGGCAGAAGAATGAATAACGGATATGACAGAGGAATTATCAAAATGTAAGACTTCTAACGCATATGGTATTGGTCCAAATTACTGTAATCTCATCTGACTAATCACAAAATCGTTGATTTTTTGGTCCAAACTAATCTCAAATTACAAACCGGAAGTCGAGCACTGAACGAAAAGCTCCTTAAATACTAGTATTCATGTAGTTTCCCGGGAATTTGCAAATTTTAGCGCCCGGTTTATTTTAGCCCCGGTTTATTTTAGCGAATTGAATTTTTAGCGAAACTATAGCGATCGCTAACAACTACCCCTCGCTAACAATACCCATTTTACAGTATGTAATTGAATTCAGTAAAAAGTTTATCACAATAATAACTTTAATTTATACGAGGGGTGATCCAAAAGTCTTGGACGCCCTGCTCTAATTTTGTTGGCTTTTGATGAAATTACTTTAAACTTTCCAATAATAAAGACCAACAACCGAACTACTTTGTGTATTAATTTCATGGAGAAATGATATGTTTTATGTAGATTTCTAGACAGTTTTTAATATGGGGACCCTGCCACCCGGAACGGTATTCACACATGACAACTTTCTGCCTTAAATAATGCCGCCATTTGACTTGTTTCGCAAGTCTTGACCACTGTCTTTCTTTGAATTGTGAATGTTAAACCATGCTAGTTTACTTCCTTTCTTACTATGCAACCAATTAATTGTGTTTTAATTATAATGTCACATGACAATGATCATATATGTCAAATTCTAAGAAAATGACATCAGACAAGCAACCCTCATTCTGGTATCATTTTTGCTCCAAAATGGCTGCTGAAATGCAGAACATGAAAGAAATCAAAATGGAACAAAGAATACTACAAGATATTTTCACTATTATTGACCTTTAGCAGCTACCATATGCACAATACAGTCTAGATATGGCTCCGTGTGATTTTCTTCCTTTTCTCGAAGTTGAAAGGAGGTTTGAAAGAAAATGTTTTTTTACTCATTGGATGAGGTTTAGAGTGGCACTCCAGCAGCATTTGTATCACATAAGGAATGGCGGTTTAATAAATGTCTTCCATTCATTGGTAAAGCGGTATGAAGGATGGGTTCAAATTCGTGGAAAATATGTTGAAAAGTAGGTCTTAACATGTGAAGATGATGATGGCAGATGACACTCAGATTGAAAATTGGAAATTCTCTCATAAAATGACTGGTGTTAGGTTGTGCACCCGCACCTAAAGTATTTGCCATATTATAACAGTTGTGATGTGATTTGCTATATTTAAATACCGTTCCGGGTGGCAGGGACCCAGTGTTAAACAATCTTTACAAAAAAGCTAAAATATATTATTTTCTGTTGAAACTTATACACAAAGTTGTTAAGATGTTGATCTTTATTATCTGAAAGTTTCGTGGAATTACATTATAAAATAGCAAAGTTAGAGCGGGGCGTCCAAGACTTTTGGATCACCCCTCGTACAGTTTTTAAATAATTTTCCATGACTTTTCAACTTGATCTACCAGTAAATCTCTATTGATGCAATGTTAAACCTTGGTTCATTGTTTGACAATCAAACTTCATTGCTGACCAACCCCGAGATATTTCGTCTATGACATCATAATCATATGTGACCAACCTTGGGGTGCTGTCCAGTAATTGTCACATAATCTGTACCAGTTATCTTATCAAATATTCTAGTGGTCATGAGGGGAGTATTTTGTCATTGGCTCCAAAATGGCATATAACTTAGCGCATAGGGCAGTAGGGTGTTGATACAGTCTATTTTATGCTAATGTCAGAATGTGAAAACATGCAATTTTGCTTAATTTTCCATCAAAATTGCCAGTCATCAGCAGAAAATCTCCAAAAATAGCTTTGGCCAGCAATGAATTAATCACAATATGTATATTGATAGTGTCATCCCATAGTATGCCATTCAAGATTCAGACAGATTCAACCAATGAATTGACTAGGCCTATTGTAAGTTTATAACATGGCAGTCTGGCCCAACCAAAACAAAAATAAACAAGGGTGACATCTATTTATTCAGCCACAAAGACAATCATTCAAAAATTCATGTCTTTGCAAATTATCTGAAAAAAACAAGAAGGGTTTCTGTCCAGCGCATCTGCATGTGCATTCAGTAATCCTGCTCAATGGTTTTTTGAACAGTTTTCAGAGTTTTCTCCATCAGATCATGTCAATTCTAACATGGCTTAGGCAGTGGCGTAGCCAGGATTTGACAGGAGGGGTGCGAATATTTTTGCCAAAATAATTTTGGAGCCACCTACATGTAATGCTGAATTTGGTGTAAACATTCCCAGGGGCCCCAATTTTTTTTTCCAGACTCAAAATTTGCCCCCCCCCCCTCCTTGTTAATATCTGGATCCGCCACTGTCAAAGTCAGGGGGGAGAAAAGCACTCTCCAACCCGCACAAAAAAATAAATTATAGTTTAAAATGCTCAGAATGCACCATATACAAATAAAAAAATTGAGAGGTGAACTCCCCTCTTTGGGTTCGCTTTGATTGTACTGATGCAAACCCCAAACAATCACACACCCCTTTGAAGATTTCTGGATACACCCTTGAAATTAATTCAATAGTCTATCTTCGTTCTGATTCATGTTTGTTAAATACTGTAGTGCCATATTATAATATTATCTCAAGATCATCTCTAGGCTTGGTACTAGCTAATTTTATGAAGCATAATTATGTAAAGGTTTTCTTATGGACTCATTTAAAGATGTCACTAGTCACTACTAATATCTGAAAGTGAAACTAGAACTCTTCAGTAAAAGAGACGCAAAGTTCATAGGTCGCCATTTTACAGGATGTGGGAGTCTCATTTTCTCTCTTAGTAAATATCAGACACAATGCGGCGGAACGGACGCATTTTGCTGCTCCTCGCAGCATTATGGGTAGCAGGAGTGATGTACTACATGTATAAGTCAAATGATATTGATGTAAGTACATTTTATACCCATTATTTTACTAATAAATTTGGACGTTCAAACTTTTTCAAGTTTTTTATTTTTTCAAAAGAAAATCTTTTGAAACTTTTTATTTTGTTTGTTTTCAGCCAGTGTAGCGTCTTATCATAGGATTTAGATTTTTCCTTGGATTCAATAATTTTACAATACTATTTTGAACATGTTGAACGTGCTATTTATTGTTTGTCATCTACTTCATCTTGTTACCCAATTTTAGGTTTCCTGACCTTACAGTCAGATGAATCCTGCCTCTACAGTGGGGGACAAAAATAAAACTCAACGTTCACAAGTTGCTACAATGAGCTAGTTTCCAAGTTTCGTGTCTCAAACTCTCCCAAGCGGTAGAAAAATAATTCCCGTTCACTAAAGTAGCACAATAAATGAATACAAAGCTTCATACCTGCAAATAATGGATAAATCCCTACCAAATCGAATGAATGTTTTCATGAATCGCCATGTTTGTTATCCAAGGAAGTTTGACTCCCAGAATGCAACATCAGTTACCGTATTTACTCATGACAGGTTTCAAAATGGCGGAACAGCATTTTGAAAGCTGGCACATGTCATGTTGCATTCTGGGAGCCAATCCTCCGTTCCGGCGCAATCGGGCGACAAAATCACCTCAACATTTGTCAACATTTGAAGAGTCGGCATAACATGTGAATATCCACTTCAACTTTTGAAGTTCTTATTTGTCATTAGGGACACAAATTCCACTATATTTGGACTTACTCAGACGGAGAAAATAGAGCACGTGAATACACTGAGGTAAGAATTTATTACATGTGCGACAGCATGTAATTTTCATAGCTTTTGCAATTCTTTATGATCCCCACTGTAGTCCTTCATGTTTTTACTGATAGATTTGAGATCATATGGTCACCTGTATAAATCAAGCCTCCAAAAATTGCACTCAAAAGTAGGGCAATGCTGTCTAATGTCTAAGTTCCTTCTTCATTTTAGTGCGAAAATAATATAAGAAAAATATTTGTTTTGTCAATCTCAACTATCCACTGGGGTCGTGAATTCGTACGATCCTCAATCCAATCCGGATAAATTTTATCTTTTGGGATAAATCTTGGATTACTAATCCGATTAATATTTGGTGAATTCGTACGATCCAAGGATTATGAGGGGGAATCCCCAAGATTTATCCAATTTGCATTAGAATTCAGATAAAACTTATCCAAAAAGTAATTACCTCAAGAGGTGGATTGAGATTTATCCTGAGATTAATCCCAGGATCGTACGAATTCACCGATTTCTTCGGATTAATTCTTAAATTAATCCCACAATGCATCATTACCATGACGAAATTTATCCGGATCGGATCGCGGATCGTACGAATTCACCGCCCCTGAAGTGAGGGACAGATGTTACAACCAAAATACAATATTGCATCGGAAATTACATCTTTTGTTAAAATGATGCCCAAAAGAAACAGTGTTTCCCATTATACCTATTTTCTCTACCCGTTTCAAGCCTGAAATATTGGGTTATTATGCACTGTTACGTTTTGTCTGTGTTCATTTGGAAATCACAAAATTCTTGCTACACTTTGATAAACCTTGATTTTCATACAAGATGGGTAGTAATTCAATGAAAATTCTCAATATGAAACATATTATTCTTTTCTTGCCAATCAGAAACCCCCAAGTCTGCAACTTTTAATCATGATCCATCAATAGATTGTATCTGACTCTGGTCCAAGTAGAAGGGCACGAAGGTCTCGCCACAATACTGGCTTCCTTAATGTCGGGTGCAAAAATCAATAGGTTTGTTTGATTAATAAACATCATGATTTCAGAGTTATCACGAAAGATAACGTTTCATCTTGATTGATGAACAATTAGCATGTTTCTGTCTAATCTACAGTATTTTTGGCAAGATTACATTTACAGTACTAAATTTCCTTAGTTCGGCTTCATTCCTCGAAGTCATAAGTTGATATCATACACATGTATGAATTTGATAAACCTGAATTCTATCACAGTGTAGTATCATTATAGATTAAATGTCTTAAATAAGCCATATTTTTCAGAAGGAGCTATTCTTAGAAAAATTACCAGACATGTGTATATTTAGAATTGTGATTGGGTTAGTTATACTGTTTTTTATTTCTTCAAACCTTTGTTAGACCACATTTTAAATATTTATTTAGCTAGTCCTCTGTGATAGAGACATGAACCACAAGGCAGTTTCCCCTCCGCAGAAAATATGACTGAATATAAGTAGTTAAAGTTCTGTAAATCTAAAAACTTCGTGATGAAAGGCCCTGATTTTGGCAACAATTAAAAATGATTAGTGAATCAATTTTTCCAAATATAGCTAGAGATTAAAAGAAAAAACCTCCTGTTAATTAACCAAGAAAACTTAATACATATAGCAATTTATCAATTTCCAATTTTTAGGATAAGTATAATTTTTATCGCTAATATTTAAACACAATGCTTTTCTAGAACCAACATGCAACCACTACTAATTATTCCCAAATAATATGTCTTTGATGTTCTGCTCATGCCCGCAAAACCTCGAGGACTATTTATACTCAATTTTCTAGGCATGACATAAAACTTGATAATAATGTTAAGTTTATTGGTTACTTAGCTGCACTTATCACGCTTATAAAAGTTAATTTTTGCAAAAAATTCAGCGAAATCAGGTTATTGAGAATCAAACAGTTTGTGCCGTGTATATACCACATGCATAATATCTCGCTAACTTGTCTACTCTATGATGTCACAGTAATAACATATGGGTCAAGTTGCATGTACATTGAGTGTACATGTACACCATACATGTATGTATACCATATATGTCTTTCTTAACCTACTTCATAATGACCAATAAGTCAATAGTTAACCTAACAAGTAGTCATTTGTCAGTGAAATACGATGCCAATACTCTTAACATGTATTTAAAATAACCTAGGGACATTTGCTATCGATAATTGTTTAACACGTACATCAGTTTTTTCAAGCATTTGTTCTTTTATCAGATGACTATAATCTTATGCATTCAAATTTTGATATAAATAATCTATAATTTACCATTATCACGTTATTCTATTCTTTTACTCTGTCCTAATTAACATCAGATTATTCAGTTTCAGATAGAAATGTGCTCTACCTTAGTGACTAATATGTCATGATATGACATCTAAAGAGTCAATAAAAGATATATATATAATCGTGACTTTATAGGATATTACCCTTCATTTTACAAAAGTTTCACTAACTAAACAGTAATGAAATTTTGAACAGTGGACTGGTGCTATTATGAGTTATTCGTCTTAAATGATTATGTAGCAATTTGATTTATTGAGTTCACTATAAAATTTCTCATGAAATTGAGATTAATTAAATTAATTATCTTCACCGACTCCAGTAAGTGCATATTTTATCTTTGCCATAAAGTTACTTATGGCTATAAAATGCACTTACCATCTTTAATAACATTAATAAAAATACAGCTCGGGTTACAGTCAGGTATTTGCAAGATACATGATTGACAAGAATTCTAAATTGGAATATGAAAAACATAAACTTTTGAGATGCATTTTTGCTGACATCTTGTCAATAAATATCAATTTTTACCAGGGCCCTTTAAAAAGTTCTGCAAAAATGTGTCTCACTTTAAGAAAACATTACCTACATCAAATATATTTGAAATAGGAATAGGTTACATATAAAACGTAATGTTTCTCTGTATGTAATAGACATGCTTTTATAGATAGATTATTTCATCTATTCCGACTCTTTTTAGGTCTTCATCGATTGAAGTGCTGAATATATCCCTATTTTTGAAATGTCGTGTCAATCACACAATTGCCACAATTTTATGAATTATTCATTAAATATACAACTATTTGCTGTAACAGGATAGTTTGCCTACAATTCCCTACATCATTATGCATCAATCAAATTAATATGTCGATCAGTGGTGTTTTTTAATTAAATTGCAGTTAGATCACTCTGAGTAAACATTAGTACAGCTGTATACAATGAAGTACTGGTATGAGATTTATTCAATCGGATTTCCGCCCAGATCACAAATTGCAATCTATATTTTCTGGGAGTCGGATACAACCACATATTAATAAAGGAGATCATTGTAGGTGTTTCAGACATCCTTAACATTTCATACAATAGTCAGTATTTAACCAGTTGTCCTTTAAACCCCATTCAGGGCCGTCAGATGGGGGTGCGATGGGTGCACCCCCCTTTGTCACCCCACAAAAAAAAATTGAAAAAAATGTTTTTTTTTGAAAAATATTTTTTTTGTAATTTTTTTTTCATTGACTCATACACTTTGAAAGTACCCAGAAAGCACCAAATAGCATCTTAAAATTGAAAAATTTTCTAGGGGTACTGGCCACCCCTCACACCCCCCCACAAAACAATGGAAAGTTCTTTTATTTTAGTGTTTTGTCTCAGACACTTTTAAAGTGCCCAGACATCATCAAATAGCTCCTTGATATAGTTAGTGTTTCTGGGGGACTTGCTCCCCCTCTTGCATCTTGCACTTGCCCCCCCCCCCACTCTGGCGCCCCCCCCCCCTCTGGCGCCCCCCCCCCTCTGGCGCCCCCCCCCCCTCTGGCGCCCCCCCCCCCCCTTGACCCCCCCCCCAAAAAAAAATTGTGATTTTCTCAAATTCTTTAATTGACTCATACACTTTGAAAGTGCCCAGAAAGCACCAAAAAGCGTCGTAAAATTGTAAAATTTTCTAGGGGGAGTGGGCCACCCCTCACACCCCAAACAAAACAATGGAAAGTTCTAAATTTATTTTAGTGTTTTGTCTCAGACACTTTTAAATTGCCCAGACATCATCAAATAGCTCGATCCTTGATAAAGTTAATGATTCTGGAAGACTAACACTTACTCGTCCTCTGGCATCCCCACTCCACCTCCCCCTCTGGCAGCCCCCCCCCCTTAACACCCCAAAAAGTGCCCAGAAAGCACCAAATAGCATCT